GTCAAAAGTGAACATCTTAATTATTTTCCTTTCTAGTTACATAGGCTATCCAGTTTATGTATTTAGATGTATTTTTTATTTGATGAAATTCTTTGTGATTCTTTAGTACCAGTCTATTTTAAGCATCTATGCTATGGATTTCAGTGATGCTTAAGCATATAAAAAAGGATAAGAAAAATGCAAAATTAAACAGTAAATAAATCTTTTATTTTAGACTGTATTCAAGTTCAGTTATATTGAAATGTCTTTCTTGTTTCTTTGTCAGGCACAAGCATAAAAAAATAAGCAATCACTTAAACAACTTAAATACTAATTCTTGTTCAAAAATCAAGCAATCGGAGTACTGGTCAAAATACTAAGTTACTTATAAAAAAATGTTTTATGCATTACAATTATATGCTACATTCCACTTTGACATTTTCAGCTCTCAATGGGATAAAGAAAAAGGCTTCTGAAAATTATAATTCATAAGAGAAACAAAAGACTTTGAATATTTTATAATCTGTTCTCATCAGAAGTAGGAATATGCATACAGTGGAGTGGTTATTGCTGCTAAAAATGAAATTGGCATGCTGAGTTTGAATTCCAGCCAAGGTCACTGGTATTCACTTTTGCAAAAATATCATTGGGCAATGTATAGATCTATTTCTTCTCCTTGCAGTTATGGATTAAACAGCAGGGCAAACTAGGAAGGTATGAATTCATGTCTCCTCCCATCTAGGGTTAAATAGCAGGGCACACAAGTCTCTCTAACTTTGGTCGGCAACCAATCTAGAAAAAGAACAACTGAATTCAAAACCTGGTTGGGTATGAGGCTGGCAACTTCACTTTGTAAGCCTGCTTACTATGGAAACTGCAGCAGTAACACTAATGTAGTGAGGCTGTGGCCCTATATTTCACATGAAATAAGGATAACAGAAATAGATAAAGGTTTTTATGTGATATTAGTCTATAAGCATCTATGTTAAGCTAATACCAAAGTCTAAAATGGTATCTGTTCCAAATGATTCATAAAGTTAATGCTGTTTGTATTTTTAGATTTTTTTTATATACAGTTAACATATAAATTATCAGTAAATTATCATAATCAAATCCCAGTAAAGAAACAGTTTTGAAATCTGAATCCATATTCACAGTTCAGAGGTTGTGTTAATCTGCAGCTTAAAAAGGAAGCTCTGTTCTTTTGTTAGTCTCTCATTAATTCATAGGTTAAGAAAAGATGATTCAGCATGTAGGTCTCAGGTGTTTCATAAAGAGAACCATCATGGTTATACCTACATTTGTGTCACTGATGCCACCTTGAGAACATTGCTCATACTTCACTATAATTACTCAGCCTTTAGGGTAATCTCCACATAGATACATTTGTGCATAATTTTAGCACCATCCATGTTCCATACAAAGACACTTTCTACTTCAGCTACACAAGTAGCTGAGAATCTGAATTCTTATTGTCCTTTTGTGGTAAATGTTAATTCAGTGTGGGTGAGTCCATATTATTTACCCCCCCCCACCTCCCCACAGTTTCTTAATTTAGAATATTTTCATTTACTGAACAATTTGGGGTTGTGCTGAAGACCCATACTGTCAAAAATTATGTCAGATTTTGTTAAGTACTTAATATTATTTGTTTTTCACATGTGAGCTTATATATATGTTCTGTAATATGAACAACAATGAAACGTAATACATTTATTTGTCTGATTTTCTTTTTCATGTATCTTAATCAGAGCTGGTGTAATGGTCCCCCCATCAAATCAATGATACAGACCCCATGAATCTATGATACAGGTCCCCCTCTCTATTACATCTCAGTTTTCATAAGGTAGTGCTCATGTAAAATACAAATTTTATTCTAATCTAATCATGTACAATAATGGATCATATGTAATATAGATGAACAATTCAACTAGAAAAACTGAAAATCAATACAATGTATCTAAATACAAATTAGAAACTTCTCATTTTTGTGGCAGTTTTTAACATCAACTTGAGATTTTTCTTGTTAAAAATTTGAAGAATTTTAACATATAATGAATAAAAAATAGTTAACTTTATATAGTTTTGTATTTTTATTGTTTTTTAAGACTAATTTTGCATGAGCAAAAATTCAGATTTGGACAAAAATAAATTCCAGAATGATGTCCAAATCTGTAAAGATTTTTCATCCTTTAATAGTCAGTTATGTTTAGTTTAATTTGTAACGTATATAAATGTAGGTAGAAAAAAGCAAATGTTAAGATAGTGAGGGTCAGAGAGTACTGCCTGGGTTCTCCAATAAGGCCTGTGTCACCCATTCAAGGTGTGTGACATAGTATAACAACATAGTACATAACAACAGTATATCTCATTTGCTAGAGAAACAAAGTAGCTAATAGATTGCTTTTTATTCCTTTAGTTCCTATGTTAATATTCTTTGGATATTTTTACTTTCAATGATTTTAAAGAAGAATTAATTCATTATACAAATACAAATCTTAGACTTACATCTGCAGAAAATGTAATCCATGAAATTTCAAAATAAATTAAATATTTCTTTCATTTTTGGTATGAGCGAACTATTACATAAATAAATCTTTATTGTGAGGGATATAATTCTTGTACGGCAAAAAGTTACAGGGATTACAAGTAAAAAAGGAATTGACATATATGTAATAATGTCCTTGGAAAAAATATTTTTGCACATATTGTAGTTATCCTAAAAAAAGAAATGGTTATGTGCATACAAATAAAAATTTAAAATTAATATAGGGAAGATTTATTCTACAACTGTTATCATGGAAATAAATTTGGTAAGTTACTTAATGTAATGTTTTCTTTATTAAATATGTTAAGAGAAAATGTTATTTTTGCTCACTTCTGTTATTCATAACCATGCTTGGATGAAAAGTATGTAGTGTGTGGTCATCTCATCACACCACAGAGATTTCATCAGTGACTATGGCTTGGTTAAATACAGCACTTTCCAGGTCCAATAGCCACTATATTTCCCAGATCTTGCCCCTTGCATTTTTTTTTTCTCTTAAAAAAATCAAATCCCACTTGAAAGGAACAAGATTTTGTGGTGCCAAAGAAATCTAATAGAATGCATGAGGCAGCTTTTCACTATCCCAGACAAAGAGTTGCAGGAATGCTTCCATCAATGGAAACAATGCTAGATAAGTTATGTGACTTCAGAAAGTGTCTACTTTGAAAGAGATTAAATGCCAAATTTATATGTGTTGCAGTTTTCTTTTTATAGTACCAATCTTGATATTTTTTTTATCAGACTTCGTATGTCTTTATATGTATATGCAGGGATTTAAAAAAAAAAAAAGAAATCCTACTTATTTTTCAACATAATCTCTTTACTTGCAAATGCACCTAATTCAATAATATAAATCATATAGATTGAATGTTGTAAAGTGAAAATTTAAAATCAAATTGCAGTTAACATGTTTACTGCCAGAGGTCAATTAAAAAAGGCCAACATTAGGCAATAAATTTCTTTTTCTTTTTTTTTCTTTTTTATGATTTCATTTATAGTTTCAACTGGAGTTTTAACATTGTTTTCACACTAAAAGTATCACTGGGAATCAACTCTTTATTGGCACCCATAGATAAAAATGTATCAAGAAATGCCAAGCATGAGTCATCTTGTGGCTTGCAGTCAATGGGTTAATAACTATATGTCAGGCTATGAACTTATGCCCGCTTCCATGTATGTGACAGAAAGTAACAATCAATATTTTCTAGAAAAATTAACTGAAACATCTGAGCTAAGGTGAACAAATACCAACCTGCAAATACATAAATTTGTCTTTTGTTTATTGCATGAAAGCCACGGCCGCCAAATAAAGCTACGTTGACAAGTTAACAATCACCCTGAATAAAGATACTACCATGGAAACACAAATTTCAATGATAGGCACGAAAAGAAAGGAATAATAATTACTTACACGTGACAAATGAGTCATTAAATATCAATTAAATTTCTCATGTTGATTTATTTCCACTCAAATCAATAAATCTCGAAAATTAATATCTATTTAGAATACAGTGCATCTTATGATATAAAGGTTTAATTCCTCATTCATGTAATTCAGCTTATGATTAACTATCCAAGTGTTAGAAACATTGTCCAGGATTTATGAAATCCTCATAATTAAGAATCTGTGTGTGGACACACTTAGATATACTTCCAAATGGTCTTAAATATGTTGGCTGCTTTTAAATGTTGTTAATTGAGTATGACTATTTGTAACATGTTAACATACAAGTTAAAACAACTAGTGCATCGATATTGTTTACATTATTTAAATACAGTTTATTGTCTTCATCTTTGATGTTGCTATCAGAATGTTTCATCTAGACAACAATCTGGGTAACCTACAGAGAATTTCAAACTTATTTAATCTACAGGAGTAGATTATTCCTATTCTGCTGCCCGTGTCTAGGGATATCTAGTTCTTATTTTATGGTGGTGAGCAACAACTACGCACTGCTAAAATAACTAGAAGAGATGTCCCTGGACAATCTATACCTGTAGATTAAATAAATGGTCAAGTTCCAAATTCCCTGTAGGTTATCCAGATCAACAAAGGAACAATGACTGAAACATTGTGATAATAACAAAGATGAGGACAATAGTGTAAATGTAAATAAGTCCTCATACCTGAAATTCAGATATTGAATTTATAATTTACAGTTATTTTGATTGACTGTTTTTTTTTTGTTTTTTTTTTATGGCTTATCAACACTTTGCAGGTTATTTAAAGCCAGAAAATATTTTTATATTGTAAGAAATTTTTTTTTTTTTTTTTTTTTTTTTAGATAATAATTATGATTTGGTGATACAAATCTCACTAATTTACCCATAGCTGGGGGAGAAGAGGTGGCTTCATACCTTTCCTAAGAGAATTTGCATGCAAGTGAATATAAAAAACTCAACTGGAATTAAACTTGGCTCTCTGATTAATGATTGCATGCCATTACTCATTATATCACCCATACATTCAATCTTACAGCACCTGGTATTCCAAAGTGGTCACCCATCTAGGTACTAACCAAGCTTGACATTGCTTAACTTCAGTGATCATACAAGAACTTGTGATTCAAAGTGATATGGCCATAAGCCTTTTACACTGGATAACTTTACATGAAATCATACAAACTTGTAGGATAGATTTGGCTCTTCAACCTTGGTTGACAACCTGTCTAGGAGAAGGAAAACTCTGAATTCTTAAAACTGGGTAGATGAAGTTCATTAACATGGGAACACACAGGATTTTCTTTCCTTTAGATGACTGAGAGAAAACCAACCCTTTCTGAGAGTACAGAGTTTGGGCACAGGGTAAAATAAACCATCCCATAGAAGAGTTCAGTTACAAAAACTTGACCAAGAGGCCTTTACTATGAATCACCTGGCAGATAGTCACAAATCATACATACATCACACAATGTTTTTGATTAAAGTTTTATGTAAAATAAATTACTGTGTACAATTGTAATATGATGCAAAATTAAAAATTAATATGAATTACTGAAGGCAAGAGGGTCAGCAGGAAATGACAAGTAACCTACCTAATGAGCTTAAATAGATGAGAGCAAGGAATGAGAGGCAAAGGAAAAAGGTAAACATTACTAAGAGTTATAAGAGATAGGAAGTTGTGGATAGCCATGAATGCTCATATCCTGAAAAGACATGGAAGTTTTTCTCGTCAGAGTCCATCCTGCACATTTACAAATCTACCATTTGTCCATGCATTGAATACTGTTGCCATATCTGATCTGTTGCTCCTGCTATTCATCTCGAAGTTCTTGACAAAATCTAAAGAAGGTTCTGCAATATAATCAATCCTGACTTGGTATTTTAACTTCAGTCACTTTCTCACCAGCATGATGTGGCTTCTCTCTGTCTTTTCTACAAATATTTTCATGGCAACTACTTTGACAAGCATTTTTCCCTGATGCCCCAACTGCATGAATTTAAGATTGACATTTAGGTCCCACCCTTTTACTGTTGAAATAGCTAAATGTAACTGCCACTTTTTCTTACACTTCCCACCTGTGGATTTACTTCAGTTTACTTGCTTCCCTGATAACTACAATCTTCAAAAATTTAAATGCATTGTCAATCACCATCTTCTTGAATCCTGTTCATCTTTTATCCTTTATTCCTTTCACTTTACCTAGTCTTTTTTCTCACTTTCACTCTCTGTAACCCCCTGTGTACTAGTGTTATTCCTGCCTTGCTTGGAGTGAAATGATTTAAAAAACAGAAAAGAAACTATCAAGATTAAATTAATTGGGAAGAAGGTCAGTGCACTTTTAGGCACAAGTACTACTGAGCATTTGATGCTGATCACTTTTGGGAGGCTATATTTGCACATACATTCAGGTTCTAATAACCTATCTATATTATCAACTTTATTGAGCTTTGTTTGGTAGTATTGTAGATTTTTGGAGACCACCAATATTCAGATGTAAGACTGTGTTGTCTAATTCATGCTGATGTTCTCTTTGGACAAAATTTTAGGAAGGAACATCACAGCCTCTGTGTAAGTTTCACTAGAGAGAAACCACTATTAAATGCAGGTGGATTGGCTACCTTTTCTGTTTCCCCTCCTTTTTTGGTAATCTTTTGATTATAGCCCAATCATTACTAAGTCAAGGAAATACAGTTCTCCAGATAAACACTTTATTGCAAGTTAAGTAAAGAGGCCACTTAGAGACGGGATAATTGAGCCAAGCACACCCCTTAGCAAGCTCAAGTTGTCGTGGCCACTAATGAGCAATACAAGAAAAGAAAGGTAGTTGATTGCTCTCAAACTGTGAACCGTTTCATGCTGTTGGATGCTTATCCAGTACCTAAGGATTGACAAACTGGCAATCACTGTTGCACAATATTGATTCTTTAGTACAACTGATTTGAAATCCACCTAACTTCAAGTCCTGATACTTGAAACTAGCCTTAGATGGCTGTTGATGCCTGTGATCAGCTATACCAATTCCATCAGATTCCATTTGAAGTAACCAATGGATTTGCCTTCTTTAAATCCATTATAGACTCTTACATAGATAAGTATATGAGGGGAAAAATAAGGAAGAATGTGACATTAACCTCTTGAGATTTTCTGAGTCTATTGAGACATTTAACTTACCTACAATTGTAATTAATGCCAGGTCACTCACTGTAGCTACTGCTACAGATATATCTAACCCAGTACTATCTGCTGTATGACCTGGTCATTGGTAACTAGACTGCTCCCCCCACCAGGATTTCCTGATGAAGAGGGTGACTGGAAAAATCCAACAATTAAAAAAAAAAAAAAAAAATCCTCTCAAAGGGAGATTAACCTTTTATGCAAGTTAAACAACTATCTTACACAATGAGTTGGACCAGGCTTTATAGCTATACATGCAACCAGTGTGATTATGACAGTATTGTTGGGTGGAGAGCACTGAAGTCAACAGTCAGGACAGTTGATGGAATCAATTACCACATCTCCATAACCAATGCAAGACTTCATGCTGGAGGATATTGGCTTTGGTTTGACCTGGAGAGGGATGGGCTTTGTCAGGTCTACTTGCCTAAGACATGCTAGGCATGAATTAATAACTATTCAACTGTCAATTCATTTTCTTCAGAGTTGAACTCTATATGCCATTTTATATTTTAATACCATTTTCACTGATTTGCTAGTTATTCTGAGAAGATTGCTACCCTCAATCAAATTAAGATTTTAACTAGATGACAAAAAGGCATTGAAATCTTGGAGAAAAAAATGTTGAGTTGTACTGTTGATGAAACAATTTCCTTTGTAGAGATGGCTGTATGTGATTACACTGTTACTGTCATTTTGTATCAACTGGTGAATCAGTTGCTTTTTTTTCTTCAAGGACATTAAATGCTATTGAACTGAAATATTCAACTATAGAAAAGACAAAATATGTTCTGATTCATGGGTTGTGCAAGTGGAACTTGTATATACAATACATCATTAAAGATGCTGGTAAAATGGTTGGTTCCTTATACTTCAGAAAGTACTCAACTACTTGAGCCACTCAAGGTAGATCGTTACTGAATGAGTTTGTTGTAAAGGGATACAAAGAGAGAGATTAAGAGGTGCATATTATGAAGTTATGTAGGATAATGATCCTGAACTTGAGTAGGTAAAGACTGTAATGATTAGGGACGAATACATTCCAGAGTCTGTTACACAATGTAACAGTTTTGGGGAAGAAGCTGTCAAAGATTGGGACAATGGATTACAAAGGGAATGAGGATGAGTTGATTCTGTTTACATAGCATGGTGGGTCCTATTTTGTAAAATTGTCATCTCATGGCAGAGATTTGGTGAATCATATTTGCTGATTTAAATTTTTAAATACAAGATTTAAATTATCAAATATTTCAATATCAACTTTTTGACATTTAAAAAAACAGATTATCCTTGGGCTTTACTTCAAATCTCATATTTATAAGTATAAAAATTTTGGTGCTCTTTTGTCTGATTGGTTATTTTTGTCACTTAATTAAAATTTCTATCACTCTAATCCTGTTTATTCTTTTAAAAGTCTTCTGAAATCTTTACTGTATTTGACAGCATATAAGACGCACCCCAATTTCAGCAGGGCAAATCAAGAAAAAATTAGTAATTAGTAAAATTATTAGTAAATGGTACAGCTTAAGCTATATTTATGAAGTATTATTTTGCTTAAACAACCCATGATTACAATTGAACATAAAATAATAGGAAAAAAAAAACACAATCCTATAAAAACTTTATTATATCCAAAGGTAAGAAAACAAAATAAAAATGAAGCAATTATTACAATTGAGCATAACAGTACAGTTACCATTAAAATTCTATTCATCTTCAAATCCATAAAATTCATTGTCTTTGTTATCAAAACTCTGATACTCATTTTCAAAACTACTATGATCATTGTAAAATAATACATCATCTTCTGTTCCATTGAGAGTGTTGCCAATGCCACACTTTTTTAAGTTTTCACAAAAATTTCTAGTCTAATATTATCCGAAGCTTGCTTTGCCCATTTGCAGACTTGTGCAATGCTAGGACTTTTTTATTCTTCCTGCAAGTGTAAGGTTGTGATCAGGCATCGCCATCCACATGTTTCATTGCTCCTTCATGTTTAAGTCTAAGCTAATAGGAGTTGACAGATAGCTAATTTCTGCTGACTATTGTGAATTTTAAACCTAGATATGGTATATAAGATGTAGGGAAATTTTAAAAGATATTTTTAGCAAAAAAAGTGTGCCTTATATGCAGTCAAATACAGTATTTTTTATCAAATGTAACTTAACATTCTTTTTTGAGTTTTGTTTTGTAAATACTATTTAGTTTTTGTTACTCTGCGAGTATTTTTTCTGGGAAAGTTTCAAAATAATAGTAAGCTCAAGCTTCAGGGTGGTCATTACTCAAGGAAGTACTTTTCCTGGGGAGGAGATTTATTACCCAGCACTTGAGGCATCCCCAGAAGGGGAAGTGCCAGAGGGGCTTGATCAATTTTTCCATGGTATTACCATTAAATCCACTTTAAACTGACCTTGTATCACATTTGGTAGTGATGTGGGTGCACTGAAAAAAAACCCTGGTATCAGTTTAAACTGATAACTTCTTTTTCCCATATATTTTGATCATTTTGCTTCAAGTTCATATTTTTTTGACATCAGATGGAAATGTTGACATCTCTTGACATATTTCAGTGAAATTTTTGCCTTCCAAAATTGTATTTCATAATTACATATTTAGTAAAAAATTACAAGTAAAAAAAAAAAAAAAAAAAAAAAAAAAACATTTGATTAAACTAATGCCAGGTGCAGATGGCTTTACTGGGTAAGTAAACATTATTATTAGCAAACCATATCCAAAAGACTTAAAAAGGTTATTTCAAAAGTGATGCCTCCAGTTTGATGACACTGAGTGGTGCCTCCAGTTTTATTAGGAAAAGTTTATAGTATTGTTTCTTTCTGAAACCCGACTCCAAATGATTTGCTCATTTTTTTATCACAAATAAAAAATTTATTGGCTTAAATCAGCATCATCTCATAAAAAGATTTTACTTAATTTTGTAAACAGGTATTTTCATTTAAATTTAACATC